TAATGTACGGGTGTACTGAAGGACAAAAAATGTTTCTGGGTGTTGGAAGTGCGAGGGATAATACACCGTCTCTATTCACCTACCATGACGATTTCTTAAAGACCAAACCAGACCAGTGCTATACTTTGGCAGGGGCGGTGGGGTAGCCTAGTCGTTAAAGCGTTCGCTGGTCACGCCGAAGACCCGGGTTCGATTCCCACATGGGTCCATTGTGTGAAGCCCATTTCTGGTGTCCCTCGCCGTGATATTGCTAAAAGCGGTGTAAAACCCAACTCACTCACTCACTATGTCTTGACGGAGCCAAGTAAGTAATCATGTGAATTTCCATCAATTTCGTTTTGATGTCAAACAAATATAACTCGTCGCAAATGTTCAATGAGTATATATTTTGACATAAATGTCGACGTCAACTATTGTACTTAACAATGACATGAATTACCTGACATGTAGCTACTAAACAAAGGCACTTATGTATCTGTACTTGCCACACTGGCAGGCCTCGATATTACGATTGATGTAAGAAAGTAGCCAACTTAGAATACCGGCACTTTCCTACCTGTTGTATTGGATGTTGGAAAGACAATAAACTCAAGTTGATCTTTATAACATTCAGTGTCACTTGGTGCAGAAACAGGTACCTTGCAACACTTTTTTATACAATGTATACTTCTAGAAACCGCGACGTCAGAGCGGTACACAAAGCCAGCTGACGGCCAGCCACCATGATGGTAACTTAGTGTAATGAGACCCTGTTTGATGATTCCATTAATGGTGGTCTCTGCCTGCCGGGAAGTATCGTTTAAAAGAAAGCTTTGATTCTATCTTTAGGTTGTCAGCATTATTTATCTTCTATAACAGCAGAAGGTAAATAATCCTACCAGACAAACCAGTGATCTATATTGAGAGTAACGTCCCGTTCCACGTGTGTACATGATGTTTCAATAGGTTGGTGACGTGAAACCTGGTTCAACGCTGTTAATAGCGACAAGCATGTACGTTGTAGCTGGCTGTTCTAGTCCTGACTTGTGTCGGTGTTACAGTACAGGTAGTCCCGCAGTTTAACAACCGCATACCCAACTCAGACGACAGAGATGGCTTAACAACTGTATACCCAACTCAGACGACAGAGACGGCTTAACAACTGTATACCCAACTCAGACGACAGAGACGGCTTAACAACTGTATACCCAACTCAGACGACACAGACGGCTTAACAACTGTATACCCAACTCAGACGACACAGACGGCTTAACAACTGTATACCCAACTCAGACGACACAGACGGCTTAACAACTGCATACCCAACTCAGACGACAGAGACGGCTTAACAACTGCATACCCAACTCAGACGACACAGACGGCTTAACAACTGTATACCCAACTCAGACGACAGAGACGGCTTAACAACTGTATACCCAACTCAGACGACAGAGACGGCTTAACAACTGTATACCCGACTCAGACGACAGAGACGGCTTAACAACTGTATACCCAACTCAGACGACAGAGACGGCTTAACAACTGTATACCCAACTCAGACGACACAGACGGCTTAACAACTGTATACCCAACTCAGACGACAGAGACGGCTTAACAACTGTATACCCAACTCAGACGACACAGACGGCTTCACAACTGCAAACCCAACTCAGAGGACAGAGACGACTTCACAACTGCACATCCATCTCTGACGACACAGTCGGCTTCACAACTGCACATCCAACTCAGACGACAAAGAGGGCTTCACAACTGCACATCCAACTCAGACGACACAGGCGGCTTCACAAGTGCATACCCAACTCGGACGACACAGACGGCTTCACAACTGCACATCCAACTAATACGACACAGACAGCTTCAGAACTGCACATCCAACTAACACGACACAGACAGCTTCACAACTGCATACACGACACAGACGGCTTCACAACTGCACATCCAACTCAGACGACACAGACAGCTTCACAACTGCACATCCAACTAACACGACACAGACAGCTTCACAACTGCATACACGACACAGACGGCTTCACAACTGCACATCCAACTAATACGAGACAGACAGCTTCACAACTGCACATCCAACTAATACGACACAGACAGCTTCACAACTGCACATCCAACTAACACGACACAGACAGCTTCAACACATACACATACACGACACAGACGGCTTCACAACTGCACATCCAACTCAGACGACACAGACGGCTTCACAACTGCACATCCAACTAACACGACACAGACAGCTTCACAACTGCACAACTGCATACACGACACAGACGGCTTCACAACTGCACATCCAACTAATACGAGACAGACAGCTTCACAACTGCACATCCAACTAATACGACACAGACAGCTTCACAACTGCACATCCAACTAACACGACACAGAGACAGCTTCACAACTGCACATCCAACTAACACGACAGAACAGCTTCACAGCTTCACAACGCCACACGACACAGACGGCTTCACAACTGCACATCCAACTAATACGAGACAGACAGCTTCACAACTGCACATCCAACTAATACGACACAGACAGCTTCACAACTGCACATCCAACTAACACGACACAGACAGCTTCACAACTGCATACACGACACAGACGGCTTCACAACTGCACATCCAACTCAGACGACACAGACGGCTTCATAACTGCACATCCAACTCAGACGACACAGACAGCTTCACAACTGCACATCCAACTAACACGACACAGACAGCTTCACAACTGCATACACGACACAGACGGCTTCACAACTACAAACCAACTCAGACGACACAGACGGCTTCACAACTACACACCCAACTCAGACGACACAGACGGCTTCACAACTACACACCCAACTCAGACGACACAGACGGCTTCAGAACTACACACCCAAATCAGACGACACAGACGGCTTCACAACTGCAAACCCAACTCAGAGGACAGAGACGACTTCACAACTGCACATCCAACTCTGACGACACAGACAGCTTCACAACTGCACATCCAACTAACACGACACAGACAGCTTCACAACTGCATACACGACACAGACGGCTTCACAACTGCACATCCAACTAACACGACACAGACAGCTTCACAACTGCATACACGACACAGACGGCTTCACAACTGCACATCCAACTCAGACGACACAGACAGCTTCACAACTGCACATCCAACTAACACGACACAGACAGCTTCACAACTGCATACACGACACAGACGGCTTCACAACTGCACATCCAACTAATACGAGACAGACAGCTTCACAACTGCACATCCAACTAATACGACACAGACAGCTTCACAACTGCACATCCAACTAACACGACACAGACAGCTTCACAACTGCATACACGACACAGACGGCTTCACAACTGCACATCCAACTCAGACGACACAGACAGCTTCACAACTGCACATCCAACTAACACGACACAGACAGCTTCACAACTGCATACACGACACAGACGGCTTCACAACTGCACATCCAACTAATACGAGACAGACAGCTTCACAACTGCACATCCAACTAATACGACACAGACAGCTTCACAACTGCACATCCAACTAACACGACACAGACAGCTTCACAACTGCACATCCAACTAACACGACACAGACAGCTTCACAACTGCATACACGACACAGACGGCTTCACAACTGCACATCCAACTAATACGAGACAGACAGCTTCACAACTGCACATCCAACTAATACGACACAGACAGCTTCACAACTGCACATCCAACTAACACGACACAGACAGCTTCACAACTGCATACACGACACAGACGGCTTCACAACTGCACATCCAACTCAGACGACACAGACGGCTTCATAACTGCACATCCAACTCAGACGACACAGACAGCTTCACAACTGCACATCCAACTAACACGACACAGACAGCTTCACAACTGCATACACGACACAGACGGCTTCACAACTACAAACCAACTCAGACGACACAGACGGCTTCACAACTACACACCCAACTCAGACGACACAGACGGCTTCACAACTACACACCCAACTCAGACGACACAGACGGCTTCAGAACTACACACCCAAATCAGACGACACAGACGGCTTCACAACTGCAAACCCAACTCAGAGGACAGAGACGACTTCACAACTGCACATCCAACTCTGACGACACAGTCGGCTTCACAACTGCACATCCAACTCAGACGACAAAGAGGGCTTCACAACTGCACATCCAACTCAGACTACACAGGCGGCTTTACAACTGCACATCTAACTCAGACGACACAGACGGCTTCACAACTGCACATCCAACTCAGACGACAGAGGCCGCTTTACAACTACACACCCACCTCAGAGGACACAGACGGCTTCACAACTGCACACCCAACTCAGACGAGACAGGCGGCTTCACAAGTGCACACCTAACTGAGACGACACAGACGGCTTCACAACTACATACCCAACTCAAACGACACAGACGGCTTCACAACTACACACCCAAGTCAGAGGACACAGACGGCTTCACATTTACATACCCAACTCAGACGACACAGACTGCTTCACAACTGCACACCCAATTCAGACGACACAGGCGGCTTCACAAGTGCAAACCTAATTTATGTCGTACTTATATCGTTTGTGGTATATGTGACTGAAAAATATACATTGTCATTTTGACATTATAAGGAACGTAGCTTAGAAAATTGTATTGCCTAATGTGAATTTTTAATAAGGATAGGACCATGGACGGTGACAGATTAAAATACACACACCTAGGTTTGTATTTGTGCGTTTATTTACAGAACGGGTCTCACGTTGAGCGTTTTCTAAGACCATCTTGCGGGCTTGCTGTGGAGATTTTACGCGCGCTTTCTACAGTTTATGGTACTCTAATATGAATAACTACAAGTTTCAAAGCAATACATTTCTATAAAAGTAATCAACTTTAATCTTAAATACTGTGCTTACATTTCACTTCACTCGGGATATTTCAATCTGATTTAAGGTGCGTTCACACGTTGCAACTAGTTTGTTACAACATGTTGCATACAACAAGTTGCACGTCTTGAGTTGCGTTCACACACAGGCCAAGTTGTATACAATTTTCGGTATCGTGAGATCTCGTTTTACATGTTGCTTAGCAACGCACTGTAGAAACTAGCATACGGTCATGGCGTCCCTATACAACAGCGACAGTGATGACGATGTTCTGGAAGCGGCGGTTGTCGCAATGCTCGTTGATTTTAACCATGGCAAAGCCGACCGTTCGTGCTGGGTCCGTCCCTGGATTGCAAGACGAAGTGATCTAGGAGCTTATAAAGCTTTAATGAGGGAACTTGAAGCTGAGGACACAAAAAGTTTTGTCAATTTTTTACGCATGGACAGAGAGAGTTTTGATCAACTGCTGGGCAGAGTGTCACCGATGATAACCAAAGCTGATACACCCATGCGTGATTCTATACCCCCTGGAGAAAAACTCGCCATCACACTTCGATATTTGGCCACAGGTAGGGCTATGAACAGTCATAATTTCATGAATTATAGTTAATGTATCACACAGATCACCTACTGTTTGTCGATCAGCTGTTTTGTGTTTGTCAATAAGCGTGGCAATCTATAAATAAACCAACCACTCCTGACTGCGTTAGCACCAAATGCTTGAGTGCAAAGCCGCTGTCCCTAACCCTGTAAAGAGTATTATGAGGCTTCCGAAGGTGTGCCACATGTATACGCTCAATAACTTTTTGATTATTCTGACTGAATCATCTGTTTTTCTTTTTATTTAGGTGACAGTTACAAGTCTCTAGAGTTCTTGTATCGGGTACCAAAGAACACAATTTGCAATTTCGTCCCTCAAGTGTGTGTTGCAATTTATGAAACTCTCAAGAAGGACTTTCTGAAGGTGAGGTGCATGTCAACACTTGAATTCTTGATATTTTTTCCCCATGTTTAAACGATGACTAAATAAATCAATAAGCTGTAATGAAACACAATGTGTATTTACTTATAGGTTTAACTTCTGTAGTTCTGTGTAAACGTTGTTATTATGACTTCATGACTTTTTTTCAGATGTCCAAGCATTATGAGGAAAACGAATAAATCCCATGTGATTTATCGAAATAATAATATTAATACTCATCATCTCAAAGCACTCTTGTGTAAACATAATATTATATAACTTAAGTTTTTCACCTGTAGGGCTTTGTAATGAATCGGTTTGCTTCACTTGGTGTAAAAATCTACATAAATTACTGTAACAAAACTAACACACTCCCAATGATATTTGAACACCACTCACACTGAAGTACAACAGAAAAGCCTTAATAACATGAATTATAATTTATTATTTAAACTGGCTGACAAATGTCTTGGGAAAAAGCTTTGCAGCTGACCTGAAATACATATTCTTTGCATATATTAGGATTTCAAGTCAAGCTTCATATAATTATCTCAATGAGTTATCATTAAGGACAGATGGCATGTGCATAATACATATAAAATCTTATTCTTCATTTTGATATTCAAAAATAAGTTGTTGAACTTTAATTTTCAATTCATTCCTTTTACTTAGATTGGAAACTCGGGCCATCTCTGAAGCCAAATATTTGGCAAAACATAGTTCTCCATTATTTTCACTTTGTGATCTTCTGTTTTCAATTGACTTAAGAGTAGCCAAAACTTGGAGGGGAACACTGTCCTGTCGCTTTCTTTTAGATGGGGGTGGTGGAGTACAATCCATGGTTTCAGCCTGCGCATTGTCTGGTTCCACATTTTCCTCCTCTTGAACCACTTGTTCCACTTGACTGGGTCCATCCTGCTCAGTTGACAGTATGTTGGTTTCCTGTCACATAAAATTGGTAGTGTAAGTATATGGTATTATTTCGAAAAATATATTTTTAAAATATCTCAAATTGATTTCAGGTGCCACAGTCAGAAGAAGAATGGCTGCAAGTTGCAGAGGGATTTGAGGAGAAGTGGCAGTTTCCACACTGTATTGGTGCTTTGGATGGAAAGCATATATCTATAAAATCACCTGCCAAATCAGGATCACTCTACTACAACTATAAAAACTTTTTTAGCATTGTACTCCTAGCTCTTGTTGATTCTAACTACAGATTTGTGTATGTAGATGTTGGTGCAAATGGTAGGTCATGTGATGCAGGTATATTTGCCAATTCATCACTGAATCAGGCACTGAACAGTAACTCCTTGAAAATTCCAGGTCCAAAGCCATTGCCTGGAAGATGTCTTGATACTCCCTATGTGATTGTTGGGGACGATGCCTTTCCACTAAAAGATAACATCATGAAGCCATATCCCCACCGGGACTTAGTTATGGAAAGGAAAGTATTCAATTACAGACTTTCCAGAGCCAGACGTGTATCAGAAAATGCTTTTGGTATACTGACCAACCGCTTTGGAGTATTTCAAAGGAGCTTATCATTAACACCTGAGACATGTACAAAGGTTGTTCTTGCATGTATTGCTCTACACAACTTTCTGTGTACAACAAAAGACAAAAAATACACAGAAACAGAAGTTTTTCCACTGGATAATGGAAGCAGGCCCCAATCACTACTTCAACAGGGTGGCAACAGGAGTGCCGATAATGCAAGGCAGATTAGGGAAGAATTTGCAGATTATTTCTGTTCTAATGGCCAAGTTGATTGGCAGTGGGATCACATTGTCTGATCCTATGCATGAAGTCAAATGAAGTGTTCATATGGAACAAGCTATTTTCAGCCATACCTGCAGCTATTTTCCAAGTCCAATACAGTAAAATGGCACTAATTATTTGATTTATTCATGTTCAGCTTATGTCAATGCTGACAGTAACTTGTTTTATGTAATTAATAAAATTTTGTAATATATATCTATCAATACCAATGGATGTACATGGTTTATTAAAAGTTTACATTCTTACAATACTAACCAAGTTACTTATAGTTGTTTTTTTGATGAACCTGGCTTCTAAGAAAAGGATCCAACAGCTTAAACCATTCCCAGGTAGACTCATAAATATCATCTCGACCAGCCCCACTTTTCCGGGAGAGGGTTTCCTTCCTTAGTTCCTTGCAATAGTAGGTCCGCAGAGCAGAAATCTTAACTGGGACCTGATCCGCTATAATGAAAAAATGAAATTAAAATGTTTTCATTTGACATATAATCATGATAAATGTATACTTTAATGCAAACATTTGTGTAACCTCAAAAATATGCATATTTTTACTTTTTACCCTGACCATGCTAACAGATCTCCAATAATCATGATAATGTAAAATACTGTAGATGTTCCAATGAATATTGCTGTAATGCTCAACTACTACTGATCAAAAATATCACTAACATGTTAAACTTTAAAATAATACATGTATAGTTTTTTGCCCAAAAGAGTGAGGCACTTTTATCGTTGATTAAAATTCAGATTTGTCTCATTTTTGGGGGGTGGTGGAGCTATACATCATGTTAATACTCAAAAATAGTTAAGTTTAATAGGAAAACGTCTTTTATAGAAAATTGATAGGCCTAAACGTCATCATTGGTTGAAAAACAGTCAGAAGAATGTCCAGTTATCTTATGTTCATATTTAAAACCAATTTACTTAACATGATTAAACATGAACAAGAAATAAATTTAGAATAAACATTTAATGTAAATATTCAAGACCAATTAGATCTAATTACCCCCGGTTGAAAGCCTCACCAAATATAGGTCATTCTGCGAGAACCACGTAAACTGACAGATACTCGGTCAATGTTTTCGGTAAAATGTTGCGTTATTATAATAAAATGAAACCTTTATAAATGGATCTTTTCATATTGTACATATGTTTTTTTTACCAAAAAACCATCAACAATGCTTCTAAATTGCCTAAATTTGTACTGATAGCAGTCTGTGGTTCAATGTTTGTGTTTTGGTTGTACAGTCAGACCTCGTCTATCCGAACTTCAGATGAATGATCGAGATTATGGATCGTGACTCTGGTTCGCCATCGATGATAATGTGGGCGATACTTCATGACCAAATTTAGGTAAAGTCATACTAAATTTGTTAAGCAAAGAAGTAAGATTAGTTTATCAAATAGAAGCACGTCGAATATATTTCTGTCACTCACCTGTCATAACACCGTTCATCAGTTCGGAAATGGAAACGTAGGCGGCCTGTCTGTGTTCCCGTTTTGAATAAAACGAACTAGACACATTCCAAAGACACTCGTGGGAATGGTAGTATGAAATAAACCTTTCAATGTCATGGTTGCTGAGGTCAATTCTTTCTTTAACATTTTTCCGGCGTTGTTGTGTCGTCCGTTGTTGTGGTATCGCCATGTTTGATGTCTGCGTAAATACCACGTGACTACGAAACGCGATCTGATTGGCCAGAACCGTACAACTTGTCGCATGGAAATAGAGCAAGTTCTATTCCTTGCAACTCGCTTGCAACTTGTTGCATGCAACAAAAATCTGTCCAACTCCCCTGTTCACACTGTGAAATTTGATGCATGCCACAAGTTTTATACAACTAGTTGCAACGTGTGAACGCACCTTTAGCTGTTTGTTGAACATCTTGGTATGGGAAGAGTGTTGATGGTATTAATGTAGAAAGAGGATGGTTGCGTTGCTCTTTTATTGTGATATATCTGCGCAAGAGACATTCGTGACCAACTCGTGTTATTCTGGGACATAACCTTGCAGTCATTCCCCAAGTGGAATTTTAAATGAGTTCGCTGAAAAATATATGAATGACAAAAAAAAGGTCGGACTAAAATATCCCCAGTGAATTGAAATATATGCCGAAAATTGAAGATTAAAGTTGATTAGTAACATACAGATATAATATTATTGTTTGAAACTCGTAGCGATCTATATTTACATTTCCAAAAAACTGTCGGAAACGCACGTACAATCACCACAACAAGCCCGCAGGATCGCCAGAAATACACTCAATTGGTCCCTGACGTGATTCTTATCAAAAACTTCACATTAGACAGCAAAAATTCTGTTAGCTACGCTCTCTGTACTTTAAATAAGACGATATATATTTTTCATGATTTTTAAACAATAACATAATGCCATAAACGATTTAAGTAGTCTGGATTAAATTTATCAAAGCACCCCGACCATTACGCGCGTTCTGATTGGTTTGTCGTATTTTCGCGCATAAAAAGCATCGAGACGGCTAACACTAGCAACGCACACAACCGTGAAAATACTGTAACACTTGACGAGGGTTACCTTTCCGGTGTGCGATCTCAACACACGTTCTCATAGAAGCCAGTAACTAAAGTATCCTTCTGTCATACTGAAAAATATAGGAAGACATGAAATTATTTACGCTAAAACTTTCACAAAATAACTCCGGGATCACATGTGATCAGATTAAATGTGATCAGATTAAGCTTATTATCAAATTTCAACTGCAGCATCGTGTTCAACTAAACAAACTGAGTTTTGATGGGAGGCACCGGAGATAACAAGACAGTGACTGACAGTTCGACAGGTGGTTTGCGTGGGAGTAATATTCTTCCGTGACAGTGTTAGTACCCACCCTAACCTGAAGTTGGTACGAAGCAACTGCCATCCCGCAAAACGTAAAACGTGATTTCGGCAAGCCTTGGCTTCAATAAATTTATGCGTAAGCTCGACAAATGACAAAAAATCTAAACAAAAGATTATTTAGCATATTGCTTAGTGACACTATACGTAAAATACTGTAAAGATTATGGTCCAGAAGTTTTTCTACAGAAATCAAGGTTATTACATCCCTACGGCTTACCATTATCTGATCAAGGCCAGTCAAGATTAAACGGCCCCTACCCTTTGTCCATCTGGATTCATGACCATTATCTATTACCACAACCTCTGTTAGTAATGTCATCACACTGTACATCAACCTCGTTAATTGTATAATCTCAAATAGCATCCATGTATATATTCGCCTTGTCCATAATGTTGTGTATCACTAGCTTGATAACGGTGTTAGCATCTATGCTGACACATCGCATCAGCTGCAACAAAGTAGTTGCCCATAAAACAAACACCGATCCTGTTCTACTTTACCTGTGGTATCCTGAAACTCCTCGTCACCAACTTCTGTCATTGTGTCTGGTACCGTGACTGAAACAGTTAGGTCTGCAGCTATAGGATTTACAGATGTACTACAGCCATTTAAGTAAGAATTTATCATGAACTGGACACAAATACCGATATTCTGTTGATTGAAGTGAAAAAATGCCTTCTGCGTTCCAACTGTTCAAGATTTATAGCTGTGGGTGTATTTAATGAGATAACAAATTGGAAGGTCTTTGCCATCCCATGTACCTATTACATTTACACAGTAAATAGACGCTTGGAAGCTTCATATCGTTTTTCTGTGTGCCATGCCTCGTGCCGCTGTCCTATTTGCTTCTGCAAACTCACAGCTACAGAAGTGAGTGGGTGAGTGAGTTTGGTTTTACACCGCGTTTAGTAATATTCCAGCATTATCACGCCCAGGGACAGTAGGACCCAGCTACAAGACGGGGCTTGTCATGTAATGTGTTACAGTTATGTACAGATCTTCTTGAATAATTGTTCCTGGTCACAGTTTGTACTTACAGATTCCACTGCTTTCTGAGGGCTGAGGAGAACCTGGCCTCGTCTTCCACATTGACAGCCGCATGTCTGAAGCAAACCGAGGAACATGTGAGAATTAATACATAATAGCAATCAAACAGTATTAGATCTCCTAACCTCGTTAACTATACTGTATTTCACAACATACGTATTTCTGGCGAACTTCCATTAACTCATATCTTCAGAACACGCCACTCCATGGAATTAGTCAATTGTACTTGTTTGAACCTTTACGATTGGTTAGAGTTTCAAATATATTTAATCTTTCAAACACACGGTGTACAACGTGTACCTGCCAGTTGTGCTCGTTCCTTCTCCTTCATCTTCTGTAATTGTAGCGTCAATGTTGCCACTTGTTCTGACAGGTCCTTTACCTCTTTGTCGTGTTCCTACAAAACACGGACAGGCTTCATTAATTACATTTGTTTGTGTATGTTAACGTAATATTTAGTTAATATACGTCAGGTATTCGTACATCAGGACAATTTCCTTTTAAAACAATTCAGAAATCACTGCGGGGAGTGTGCTGCGGAACAAGTGTGGTTAACTCTCACTAACAATGCATCACTGAACATGGAATGCTTTAATCGTTAACACGTGTAAAAGAAGGACCTATTAGGCGGGTTTTCTGCGTCGGAAAGGTTCACAGATATCTATTGCTTGCTTGCATGATGCAACAAACAAGATGAGTGACAGGCGTGTTGATTACAGATACCTGTTTGTCCACGTATCTCTGATTCTGGTCGCCATGTTCAGGCAGTGAAGGAGGATCTGAAATGCAGTTCTTAGTCAACAGTTTGTTTAGAACTTTTTACCCATTCATACATGTTTAACTATTCGTCAAAAGCATATACAATGAGCATTACAGTGGACCTAAAGTCGGATCGATTCCGTTTTTAACGTCACCTGTACTGATGATGAAAGAGGCTTCCAAAATAGATTTAAGAAAGGCAGGTAAACTGTGTCCACAAAATACAGGTTTGCCAATAGCACAGGTATTATGAGACTTGAAGCTGGAACGTGTGCGTGCAATATGACAAGAGCTTCTCAGTGGACATGGAGAATCCTCCGTTTTCCAGGACTTACAGGACATGTTCAGGGTCATAACCATGGCCAATACAAATGAGGCAAGCCATTGTGACGTTTTGTATTTAGTAGTTATTATTCTATAATTATGTTTTACAGATTAAGATGAAAATGCAGAAGAGAGGGTTCAGGTGATCCTGGCACAGTCGGGCTGGTAAGGCCACAGCTCAGGGCCCTTGGCCCCTCTACACGCAGCCCAGACAGCGAATGGGTCTTCTACCAGGAAGCACTGCCAAGTCGAACCCACCATGAACATTCCGGAGAATATGAACAATGGGGAGCCTGACGACAGTGTACTTCGGAGGCAAGCGAGACATTTCCTCATATTTTAGCATGCTTTTCCTGAATCTTGCCAATGACGTTGCTGTCAAAAGGGACAGAAAATTCAATGATATGAATAAAGTCAGTGGCTTTATCAAAAAGGACAAGATCAGGTTTGTTGGCTGGAATTCTTCTGAGGCTGTATTTGGGACTATCCTAAAGATGTTTCAAAGCATGAGTTTCCATGACGCCCCGGGCATGGTCATACCATGGATGGGCCTCGGAGTCAAAGCCACATACATGGCGAAGAGGATAGCAGAAGCATCGAGCCATGCCATCAATGGCTACCGAATGGCGGCCACAATGGAGGCCTTCACAACTGGGCGACATGCCATATATTTACTGAAACAAATCTGTATTCGAATCAGTTTTTCAGAGACATTAAAGGTCACATGCAACCAAAAAAATCAAACATAATTTAAACACAATTATCACTTATTCATGACATATAATATACATTGCTGGTTATGAAAAAACATATAAACAAATTTTATAAGCGTACAATCGCAAATCTAAAGTGCAATATTTTGTACTTGGGTTTACTTCCCAAGAAACGAAGCAGCCGGAATACCGAACCCAGTCAGAGCGGGTGGGTGTGCACTCAAGTGTAACGGCTGGTTCATTTGCAGATGCCCTCACGGCTCATTGTGTGGGAATATAGAGATGTTGGGTTTTGTAAATACATGCTCATTTTTTGTGTAAAACATTTTGCAATCAACAGACATCATAACATGTCATGTGTACAAGTATCCCACCTGCCTGTCTGTGTAATTACATAATGTGACAGAGACCGAACTCGGGCCATAAATCAATGCGTTTTGTTTATGGTGTATAGCCTGATAGGTGTGAAGTTCAAATTGCATGTGATCAGTGATCGAAGTTGTGTATTGAATATTGTCATTAGCAGACAGGCAGGCAGACAAATAGGTGTAAATAAAACAGACATTGAGTTTTGTCTGTGACAACGACATATCTATATCACAGTTAGAAATTCTGTGACATTGCTTTTAAGTATCGAACTGAGAGAGTGACTCTGTAAGAAGAACGTGTGGTGAAACAGACAAATGAAATTATATAAACAGTTAAATCGGTAATCTACTGTCATAACATATCAAAAGCTCGTGCCTGTGAAATATCAACAGAACATTAGAAAAGAAGCTCACACCAAAGCCTTCACCGATTATTCACCGGACAACCCGCTTCCAAGCTGCGCGAACCTATTTCACTGCGCACGTGCTATGAGAGCAGCCCAGCTGTTGAAACAACTTAAATTCCCCCAAGCGCTGGGGGAAAATTAGTGAATCGTTTAAACTACGATTTCGCGCGGTTTTTTTCATCGGGTTATTTTTCAACTTTTTAAGTTGAATTTGCATTCTTGATAATTTGTTTCGGTAAGTCCATCCCGAAAGGTATCAGAATCTGCAAAGTTGTGTTTTACGTTGCATGTGACCTTTAAGTTTTATTAAGTTGAGTGCAACTCGCTGCTCACAGTAATTTTACATTCGTGACCAACACGTGTTATTCCTGGACAACCCGAACAGCGACTCGTGCCCCTCTGGAAGGATTTCATAGTGGTAGATGAACATCAGAACAACTTTAAACGGGAACGATAACTCTATTACTGTTTGATTCCAATGGTACTTAATGTCACCAAATTAATCATACATTGTATTGCTGTTTATGTTTTAAAGAATTTGATAAAGAAACTACCGTCTTCACACAACACACACATCTCACTGTCAACCTGGAAATGCCCTGACTAGCGACACTGGTCGCACTAAGCAGCGAGTTATGACGTCATTGTGACGTGTCATATCAGGAGCAACACCGAGTTTGGCGCTGGATTGCTGTGGTATGGTCAACTGGGCAACCCGCCACACTTACAAACAGACATCCCCGCGTCTTCCCCATCCAGCCTCGCCTCCCTATTTCATAGACGGTGGGGTGAAACCTGCCCGACTTACAACAATAGTCAACATTAACTAAACTCCTTCATCATGTACTACACGGTACTGGAGATATAAATAAGTAGCGAGATCAAAGGAACCGCTGGCCTCTATATTCCACATTCACACGACAACAGATGCACTGTACGTATACGGTATATGCACTGAATTATAGTAACACGTGTCTATTTATCTACTGAGGTCTCAGTGTTATTCGAGATGCCTAGATACATCTATATAACAATTATCACCAAAAGCTACACTGATTACTATTTGTAATTTTAACACAGAATCATATAACTTTGACGTCAGAACAGTTTCATCCCTGTACAATACGAGTTTTAGAAAGAATCGCTTCAATGAAAATCATGTTAGTTGTGCCTTCAATATAATGTGGACATTATTACCTGAATCACATGGAGCAATGGTTATGGTAAAACAGTTCTCTGTGGATACAGTATGCCTTGTTTAAAAGGAAATACAGCTGCAAAAGTATAGATGCAACAAAAGTCGTAATGATTTATCACCAAATGTACGTCCTCTTACATTCGACACACGCTGACTCGTGGGCCTAACAATGTTCAAAAACCTACCAACAATCATTATGTAACAAACACAGATGTATTTGATGCTCGCGATGATGCCCCTGATATCAGCCACATGATTGTCTGTTCAAGACTCCAATATTTACACGATGTAGACATTCAAAAACATTACCAGAGAAGATCCTGTTTAGAACTGGTCTTCAGTAACCAATGTTTGTCGTAAGAGGCGACTAAAGGGATCGGCTTGTCAGGCTCGCTGACTCAGTTGACACATGTCATCTTATCCCAATTGGGTAGATAGATGCTCATGCTGTTGATCACTGGGTTGTATGGTCCAGACTCCAATATTTACAGACCGAAGCCACATAGCTGGAATATTGTTGCTGAGTGCGGCGTTAAACAACAAGCAAACCCAACCTAATTTTGCAACAATGATTCTTTCCCCAACTGAACAGCAACACATGAGAGTCGTCTTTTAGCAATTTTCTTTCCAGTAATTTGGTTGACACATTACATTCTGAAACGTTAATGACTGGGATCTAAATTCAAATGTGTATTCGACACCTTGTTTCTTTTAATTTGATTCCCTTGTATACACATACATCCGTGCATAAAATAAACACCACCCTGTACTTTTACTAATTAATTTTGCCTGAAATGAACATTCTAATATCTTTAAAAAAAATAACGTTTATAATTTGAAAGAGCAGGCATTTAACATTTCAAACCCGAAAACATCATTGAAATTACCATGTACTTTAATTAGAATAATTGCCTTTATTTATACCAGGTGTCTTTCTGTTCTAAAACAAGTTACCTTATTTTGAAAAGTGAAAGTAATAATTGATTGTTATGTGGCCTGTAAATTCGTTATTTATTGAGAATGGATGAAAGTTTGTAAACTAAGATTGAGGAGAAGTTACAGTCAAACTAAAACTAGTAGAATTTCAAAATGCAGTGAAAGTTACAAACAAAACAAACATTTTAGCTGTAAGTATCAGTATCCGACAAGGAAAGGTGTTTACTCAATACAATAAACTCAAAATCATAAAAGATTTATTCCAAAATCTTATTAATGTGGCCTTTTTTGAGTTTTTGTTAATTAACAATCTGAATTGTTGGAAAAAATGTCTGAATCTTTGACATTCGGGTTCTTCCTGATTATACATAATTTAAGCTTACTTGATGTGTAAATGTCATCTTGGTATATAACAGAATTGTTATTTTAGTCAAAACTTAACTTAATTGTGTTGTTTGAGCAGGAGAGGGATATATATTTTGGGTAAAAATTCAGCCCCATCACATTTTCATCAACATATTCTTTTATAAAGAATAGAAAAGGTTATGGTATTTGTAAAACTGTCAATGGACATAGGTTGATTAAATTGATGGCTATACCCTAAATTTTCTGTAGCATCACATCTTATTTTCAAAATAGGGTGGTGCTGAATTAATGCACGAGTGTAATGAAAGAAATTGTAATGAAATTGCTTCTTGGTGTTGGAAGTTCGAGGGATCATACACCTTCTCTACTCACCTACCTTGACGTTTTCTTAAAGACCAAACCAGACCAGTGCTATACTGTGACAGGGGCGGTGGGGTAGCCTAGTGGTTAAAGCGTTCGCTCGTCACGCCGAAGACCCGGGTTCGATTCCCACATGGGTACATTGTGTGAAGACCATTTCTGGTGTCCCTCGCCGTGGTATTGTTAAAAGCGGTGTAAAACCCAACTCACCCACTCACTATGTCTTGACAGAGCCAAGTAAATAATCATGTGAATTGCCACATTGGTAGGCCTCGATATTACGATTGATGTAACAAAGTAGCCAACTTAGAATACCGGCACTTTCCTACCTGTTGTACTGGATGTTGG